TCTTTGTATGGCTTACAAAGTGCTTTTCAGTTGACAAGTCGTACATTTCCTAATTAGTGTTTATTTTATTGTTATGGTAGAAATTGCCTTTTCAGGCACACATCTAAATGTTATAAAAATGCTATGTGAACTGGCCTATATCCTTTCAAATACAAAATTATATTTCACATAGTAATGAGGTTCCACATGACCATTTTAAAATTTATCCAGGGACTTTTTTAAACACAATTTTGGAGACATCTCTTGATGTCTGAGAAACATTTCCAATAGAATGACTCATCTTTTATTACTACCTATTCTACAACTCCACCTGCAGAATACAGCCTTTTTGTCAGCTCAGTTTATTCGGATATCTGAACATATTCCCTTGCTCCCTTCCCCATTGCCCAGAGAACCCTGGCTACCATTCCCTTCAGGGGAGAGGTAAAAACAGAATTGTAGGGGTCAAAGAATGGTAAATTTGGGGAATCTGAAGAAATACTGAATTAGGAACAATAATACCACAAAGAAAAGTAGTCCACACTTCAGCTGGCAGATTTAAGCAACAAAGGAGAGATCGTTAAAGTCCCTTCCCTTTATCTGAGTCCCAAAAAGCGAAACAAAGCTGTATTAAGCTTGTGTGACTAAGGTTTCCAATAACTGAATAAGTATTAGCTTGCAAATTTAAAGTAAATAACATTTGGGGATAAAAAGGTCCTAAAACTGATTTATGGTGATGGTTGCATTCATCAGTAAAGTTACTAAAAAAAAGATGATTGTATTTTATGCTTGAAATGGGCATGTGTGAAATATATCTCAATAAGGTTGTTTTTTAAAACTGCTAGAAAAGAAGAGGAAATAACATTAGAAGTTCAGATCCTTGTTCATACCAGCTGTACTTCAAAAGTGTCTAATAAACACATGTGACTTATGGCTACTGTTTTGAACAGCATAAGTCTAGTACATAAAAGATTTCTATGCTGCTAAAAAATACTTTCTTAAATCTGTCTCAAAATACTTACACTTACCTTAGAAATATATAACAACCAAAATAGGAAATGTGCAAAAATTTAGTATCTTTAAAATATCAAAAGAAATATACAATCATAATAAATATATCAAAAGAAATATACAATGATAATAAATATTTTTAAAGTTCAAGGCTAGTAGCCATCAAAGAAATGCAAATTTAAAAGAGTGAATTAGTATTTTCATCTGTAAAATAGATATTTTTAAAAGATGCTCCTAGTGTTAAGATGAGATGAAATGGATACTGCTGTTAGAAGTATAAACTGGTATGACTGTCCTAAAAGTTGGTTGGGCAATTCAGAAATAAGTATCAAAGACCTTAAAAATGGGTGTTCTCCTAGACTTAGCAATTCTACTTCTAGTAATTCATCTTCAAAAACTAATTATGTATTTAAGAAAGGATTTACCTATGATTTTTAATGCAACATGGCTATAATGACAAAAAATAATCTAAATGTCCATCCATTGGACATTGATTAAATAAGTTATATCTTTATAGAAAAGAATATTAAGCAGCCATTTAAAGTTAAATAGTGGAATTTTTTTATTAAAGTATCATTGATACATAATCTTATGAAGGTTTCACATGAACAACATTGTGGTTTCAACATTCACCCATATTATCAAGTCCTCACCCCCGCATTGCAGTCACTGTCAGTCAGCGTAGTAAGATGCTATAGAGTCGTTACTTGTCTTCTCCATGTTGTACTGCTTTCCCCATGATCTACCTATATTATAATTGTGAATTATAGTGCCCCTTAATCCCCTTCTCCTCCTTACCCACCTTCCCCAAACCCTCCCCTTTGGTAACCACTAGTCCCTTCTTGGAGTCTGTGGGTCTGTTGCTATTTTGTTCCTTCACTCTGTTTTATTTTTATACTCCACAAATGAGTGAAATACTTTGGTACTTGTCTTTATCTGCCTGGCTTATTTCACTGAGCATAATACCCTCTAGCTCCATCCATGTTGTTGCAAATGGTAGGATTTATTTTCTTCTAATGGCTCAATAATATTCCATTGTGTATATGTACCACATCTTCTTTATCCATTCATCTATTGATGGACACTTAGGTTGCTTCCATATCTTGGCTATTGTAAATAGTGCTGCAATAAACATAGGGGTGCATATGTCTTTTTGAATCAGGGATCTTTTCTTTGGATAAATTCCAAGGAGTGGGATTCCCAGGTCAAATGGTATTTCTATCTTTAGTTTTTTGAGGAACCTCCACATTGCTTTCCACAATGGTTGAACTAGTTTACATTCACACCAGCAGTGTAGGAGGGTTCCCCTTTTTCTGCATCCTCAACAGCATTTGTTGTTCCTAGTCTTCTCTATGTTGGCCATTCTAACTGGTGTGAGGTGATATCTCACTGTGGTTTTAATTTGCATTTCCCTGATAATTAGTGATTTGGAGCACCTTTTCATGTGCCTGTTAGCCATCTGATTTGTTCTCTGGAGAATTGTCTGTTCATATCCTCTGCCCATTTTTAATAGGGTTATTTGCTTTTAAGGTGTCGAGATGTGTGAGTTCTTTATATATTTTGGATGTTAATCCCTTGTCGGATATGTCATTTACAAATTTATTCTCCCATACTGTATGATGCCTTTTTGTTCTGCTGATGGTGTCCTTTGCTGTACAGAAGCTTTTTTGTTTTATGTAGTCCCATTTGTTCATCTTTTATTTGGTTTCCCTTGCCCAAGGAGATGTGTTCAGGAAAAAGTTGCTCAGGTATAGAATATTAATATTTTTTAAAATTCATTGTTCATTATATATTGTTATTAAAAGACAGAATAAATTAAGAGTTAGAATAAATTATCTAGAAAGTTAAACCCATAGAAACAGAAAGTAGAATGGTGGTTACCAAGGACAGAGGGTAGGGGGCTCTTGCAAGATGAATAAGTTCTGGAGATTGGTTGTGCAACAATGGGAATAAATAAGACAATAGACCCAAAATGGAGTCACTTATGCTAAGTTCCACTTCCTGTACCAAGACTTGACTTAATTATAGTTTCGGCTTTCCTAGAAATGTAATCTTAAACCAATCATAAATCACCTAATCAGCACTAGTTAGGTAATCTGCCTGATAGACCCTGCCAACTCCAAAAGGAGAAGAGACTCAGGGTCTCCTCAAGGATCCTGCAATAACCAACTAACTTTTTTGCCTACGATAACTTCTTGCTCCCTCGTAGTTCTGCCTATAAAAGTCTCACTGTATACAGCTCCTTGGAGTTCTGCTATCTTGGAGCGTTCTTTCTGCTAAATTAGATGCTGCCTGATTCAAAGCCATTGTTTCTTTGTTGATTTTCTGTCTGGATGATCTGTCCATTGATGTAACTCAGGGTGGGGCTGGGGGGAGTGTTAAAATCCCCTATTATCATTGTATTACTTCAGTTTTTTTCCTTTATGTCTGTTAATATTTGTTTTATATATTTAGGGGCTCCTCTGTTGCATGTATAGATACTTACAACTGTTATATCTTCTTGCTGGATTGAGCCCTTAATCATTACATAATGTCCTTATTTGTCTCTTATTACACGCAGTCTTTGTTTTAAGTATATTTTGTCTGATATGAGTACTCCTACTCGAGCTTCTCTTTTTTTTCATTTCTGTTTTCATGGAATCTTTTTTCATGCAACTGAATTTTGTTTTTTAACAATACTTAACACTACTGAACTGTGTGCTTAGAAATGGTTAAGATAGTACGTTTTATGTTATGTGCATTTTACTGAAGTTTTTTAAATTTTTTAAATAAATTAAAAATAAATGATCTTATTTTTATTTAAATATTAGGTATGCTTTTATGCATACACAAACCAAAATGATAATAGTAGTTATTTCTGGGTGATGGTATTATTAAAATATTTCATTTTCTTCTTTTTATTTTTTTTATTCATGTCTACCATGAACATCTATTACTTTTGCAATCAGAAAAAACGTTGTATCTCCAACTCCTTGATGAATGAAATTCTTTTAAAATGAAACAAGGCCTTACATTGCAAGAAGTACATTAAGCCTATTAAAAAAATATTAAATGGTCTAAGTTATACACTCTAAGATGTAATGAGGATATCAAGGGAAAAAACAGGAGGTAACTGATTGCCTGAAAGGGGAGGAAGAAATGTTTGAAAAATCCACAAAAATCAGAGATTCGGAAAAGAAAGAGCAAGATCAACAAACACAGGCTTAGCCTACTTCAAAATTTTGCCTAGAATTATCTGGTTATATCATCCAAAAAAAGGAGAGAAGATTCAAGATTTATTGTGAAATAGCTTGGGTAAGAAGCAATCTCAAGGACAGAAAATATAATCTTTCACTTAGTCCTGAGAGATATTATTTTGGATTTTCTTGTTTTCTCTGGGATATTTATGCATTCTGGATAATTTCTAGACTCCCTAATTGTCTTTCTTGTTTTATTTTATATTATTATTTCATAGGGTACAGGGGAAGTTACACAGGGCCCATTAAACATGGCTCACCCTCCTGGGGATCCCTGCACTCCATGGCAGTAACTAGAATGGAAGTTTCCCAGTATATACACAGGATGGGCATAAAAGAGGTCTTTTTGAATAATTGAGGCTATGTTCCATATTAATATAGTATAAAGTGACCAGCCATGCAGAATTTTTAAGAACATTTAATTTTCAAATACCAAGTTGTGTTGCATATGTATGTCTCAATATTTGGTTTGGTAACTATGGTCACAGTGAAATGGGAGATGTGCATGAGGGTTCTGGCACATGTGGATTGATCAGGCACATTGATCCCACCATTGAAGCAGGGTTTGTTTTCTTCAAAGAGATCACAGGACTCTGGAAAATCTCCCACTGTTGTTGCCCTTCAGGAAGAGATTTAAGGACCATTCTTCCATTGCTAATAACTTTCTATTAATATCAAATCAAATAAATGTATTTTCAGCATTAGTTTCAGTTGAGAAGTTGGTATGTTAAAGAATCTTTTAGCTGCTCTTTCTTCAACTACAACAGGCATAGAGAAAAAGCACAGCCTTCAAGCTCTGATCTACAAAGAGTTAATGTCTTAAGAGCTAAATGGAACTGTATTAACTCCTCTCTTAACAAGCCAGGAAGACAAGAGGATTCTAGAGGACTAGAGGACACCAGAACAGTCAGAGAAAAGAATTAGAGCTCTTTGGAGGAAGCAGAACTGTAAGTTTATATTTAATGCATTTATAATCTCCCATTTCTTTGCCCTGGGGTATTTGTGAGAAGAGTGAAAAAATGTTTATTCATTTTGTATTTTCCTTCCAGTCTCCCAGGCATCCAGGCACAACAGCACTAGGTCATCTTTAATCCTGTCACCCTCGTAACGACTAGTTGGCAGTTCTTTGATTCTCCTTCCTCAGTATCTTTGCTGCTACCATCCTTCCTAGTTCACAGCCACTGGCCTGAACCACAGAAATATCCTAACATGCCTTCTTTCTGCCAGTCATTCTAACTCACCAGTGCCAGATAAATCTTTCTAAAGCTCTTCTACAGCTCTAACTCTATTGTTCTTCTGCTCAAAATGTATAATTTAATATCCATTGTGTGAAGAATGAATAAAACTCCTCTAACTTATGTGCAACTTATATGTGTTCCAAAATATGCTTCCTTTCATTTACATTTCCACGACACTTATGCAGAGTCATCATATCTACCTGCTGCTGTCCAAGACCACCATGCTTTTTCCCACCTCTGACTGTCCTGTCTGTATGGAACATTCTGTATCTCCACCTGCCAAAACCCCTCCCAGACTCTCCAGAGCCCTCGCTCCAGAAAGCTTTATCTGACTTGAAGTGAATGCGAGTCTCAGTCTTCCTTTACACTTTCACTTTGCCTTGTTCTTCCCTGATTGACTTTTATATTTTACCTTATAGTTAAGATTGTGCTTTTCTCATTTTCCTTCTTAATTATTCATTTCCTCAGAGAAAGGGCTCTATTTTTCTTTTTCTTGTAGCAACTGCACAGAATGGGCACGCAGTAATATTTGTCATATTAAATTGAATCCAAATCCTATCTCCTTTTCTGAGCATTCATACAACCAGTACTATAATTACTATACTTTTCTCCACAGCTTCTCCTTATTTCTGCTCCAAATTTCTTTTTCAATGTTTACATCTCATGTGAACTTCTATCATGTTACATAAGATCAACATCTCCTGAGTTCAGTCACTCAATGTAAAAGTATTTTTTTCAAATTGTCTCCTACATCTATTCATAATTTGTTCTTTCCTTCTCCCAGACCTTCAACTCAAAGGAGCCCAACTGCAGTGCCCCTTCAAGGACTTGGCTATTTATTGGCTCTGTTACACTTAATTTCTTATACAGTGGGAAGACTTGAATTCCCAAACCTTGTTAAATTTGAAATAGTTATAACCGTACTTCTGTATTTTTTATCACATAGCCCACCTACTCCATGAATTCTAAAGAATGGGAATATTTTTGCAGCATCATTTGCTATGCTCTACTGAAATTTTTGCATTTTTCTTCCTCTTCCTCTTCCTCTTCCTCTTCCTCTTCCTCTCTCTGCTCAAATCAGTGACACCGTTGTGCCTCTCACTTCACTGTGTTCTGGGGGGAGAGGATTAATACAAAACTGTAAATCATTAAAAGCAGTTCTTAAAAGGAAAAAATTTCTGCCACAATTCAATGTCATAACAATGCACCTGCTGAAATTTTTTTTTGCATATACAGGTACCTGTGTTAGGCAGTATATATAAAAGTATCCTCAAAAGAGCTTGTAGACCAGTGAAGAGACACATGATGTATAAGCACTATACAGTACTGACTCATATTAACCAACACACAAGATAGCATAAATAAGTCATTAACTTATACTGGTAAGTATAGTACAAGATAATCAATTGTCTGGAGACTAGTTCAGTGGACAGAACAAAACCAGAGTGCTTAGCTAACTTGGAGCCTATACTAAGTACCAAGCATTATGCCCAGATTTTTGTAGGCATTATCTGAATCGATCCTTATCATAATCATATCAAGTCTATCATACTTATTTTATAGATAAGGAAACTAAGCAGAGTGGTTAAGTAACTTGTCCATGGTTGCATAAAAAAGGAAGTATGTGTATTCGTGTTTTTTTATTCCTAGGCTCTTGGTCATAGCTATTATTTACAGTGCATCTTCTCCAAATTGAATAAGTATAAAATCAGAGTTAAGAGGAGCTAGTTGTACAGTTTTCATTGCTGGTGTTTTCAAACTGGCTTTATGCATCTACTATTACTAAAGTGTCATTCTTCCCCCTTTCTCACCTACCCTTGCCCCAGTGCACTGCAATTGTGAATATCACCGAGGAGGAATTCTCTTATTCTTTTGCTCCACTGAGTTCAAAACAATTGATAAACCCTCCCTACTTACATCTCCTCTTTACTTCTTTTTTCCTGAGTTTTTATATTTGGCCACTTCATTGGATTTTGGATATTCCTTCTTCTTACCTTCCTTGGATGTTTCTCCTGGGTGTTCCTTTCTGATCTTCTGAGCCTCTGTTTTATTCGTAGAGCTCCTTTGACTTCCTCTGAGTTCAATTTTAGTGGTACTTCTTAGTTGCTCCACAGTGCTATAGAGATTTGGTGGTGTATTTTGGAATGGTCAAAAAGCAGAACAATCTTCTCTGGGCCCAGATACTAGAAATCACAGTATCTCTTCTTCAGCCATAACTCCATTTTCGCAAATAGTTTCAGGTCCAGAGGACAAGGCATGTGATGCAGCCGCCTCTCCTTTCCCTTCATGTTCCTTCTCTACAATAGGAGCCAGGGAAGATAGGGGAACTTAGCAAACCTGCAAAAGCTACCATAAATGTGAGATTTACTTTCAAACAAAGTGGCTTCCTTGACTATTTCCACTCTGTTCTAATCCTAGGACTTTTGCCTAACATATGAAAGCACATCAACTTTGGGGTGAATGTTCAGCCTCCATAAAATAAGCGTGCTGGAAAAACTGTATAGATCTATTTAAAATATGCATGGGAAAGATGTTCTCCAGTTATTGTGGTTTAAAACAATGAAATACACAGAACAGAATATAAATGACTCAATTCAAGTTAAATTCTCTGGAAAGTAGATCATCAAAATGTCAGTGTTCTTTCCCAGTGATAGAATTTCTCTATCATGCTTTTTACTTTCTTCTATATATTTCTCCATTTGTTCAAAATAAGCTTGTGAACAAGATTCTTCAGTTGACAAGTCAAACTAGCTTCAGCAAAAGAAGGGGAATTTGTGGTACAGGACGCAGGGCTCTCCTATAGAACCTAAGGGCAGGGACAGAGATAGGCCTTAAAAAAGACTGGAATCAAGAACAGAAAGCTTTTAGGACTTTCTGACTCATGGCAGCTGCTCAGTGTCATTCTCCTCTGTGTTCATTCATCTATTCATTCATTCAATATATATTTATTGAATGCGTACAATATTCAAGAACTGTTCGAGCAAAAAGAAATGGAGGTAAACAACACAAACCAATTTTCTGCCTTCAAAAAGTCCTTATAGTTTAGTGAGAGTAGATGAGAGTAGATAGACAGTAAATAAATAGAAGTAGTTTCTAAGTATGCTAGGTGTTGACAGGGTGACATGACAAAGTATAACTAGGAAGGGTTCACTTCAGTTGTGAAGGTCAGAGCGAGTACTCCTGACAAATGAAAAAATGCTGAGACTGAAGGATAGGAAGGAACCAGCTGTGTTAAAGAGTAAGGGAAAGAGGATTCCAGAGAAATACAAAGGCCCTGAAGCAAGAAGGAGCTTGATGGTTGGGGGAGTAGGGAGGAGACTAGTGGCAACGAGTGTTACTTAACTAGAAGAGAAGGAGAGGGTCAAGGTGTGATCTGAGAAACAGAAAGGTCAGGTTATGGAAAGCCACTGGAGAATTTTAAGCAGGAAATGCTATGAAGTGGGTTGTTTTATAAAGATCACTCTCGATGTTTCAGGGAGAATTGGTGGGATGAGCATGGAAAAAGGACAATGGGGAGAACATTAGGAAAATATGGTAGGTGAGGTAAGAGACACAGGTGGCTTGAATTATAGTGGTACCTGTGGGAAATAGCATGGTGTATTTTTTAGGAAGTATTTGGAAGATTTGGTAATGGATGACAGAAGGAGAGGAACAAAGGCTTTAGGAACTGGTAAGATGGTAATGCCATTCATGGAATTAAAGACCTGGAGATCAGATTTGAGAGAGGAATCAAAATTCTCGTGTGAGACAGGTAAGTTTGAGATACTTAGTAGTCATGCAAGTGGAAATGTTTAAAAGACAGGATGATGTGCAAATCTGAAGCTCAGGGCTGGAGATAGCTATTTGGGGAGCAACAGCATATATATACATGGTATTTGAAGCCAGGAGACTGGATTCTATAATCCAGGAAAAGAGTATTGACCTTTTGGCATGAGGCGACTCTACAGATAGGGTTTCCCTGGTTATTCGGGCTGCAGAGCAGAACTGGTTATCCTAGAACTGCCAAGTTTATATACTAGTTCTAGCCATCCACAGAGACTAATTGAACTAACTCTCTTAAGTCCTATTTCCAGCTGCCTTGCCTGGGAAAGAGAATCCAATTGGCCTCACTTGGGTCAGTGGTCTACTCCTGGTAAAATGAACAATGACTGTGGAGATTGGCTCAAAGAATATAAACTGGCTCCTGTGGGATCAATCCTTGTAAATTGATGGGGGATGGTCAGAGGCTCATCTCCTAGAGAAAGGGGATGGTCCCTGACTTCCAGGGTCACTGACACAAAAAATAATCAAAAATGGTATGTATTGATTCTATAATCAGAAAAACTGATTTCGTTTGAAATAAATAATGTCATTACTACTGAATATTTAATCATACTCTTCAGTATGGAATGGTCCACACTACCACAAAAAAAGACCATGACACGTCATGTATAATCACAAAAGTGTTGAGAAATTCCTGTTACAACTGAAGTACAGATTGATGAAGTCATCTTAAAGTTACATGTAATCGGCTGGACTTTTCCTTTATTTCAGTAGTCTCTGGAATCCCTCACAGCTTGGGAAGTGATACGACATCACATCTTCTGGTGGACAGCACATCAAAGAACCTGTTAGAGACATAGACTTCATCCTTCTGATGGTGCCGGCTTCGAAAGGTAAATTCAGTGCCTGAGGATGACGCCCTTTAGAATTAAAACAGCTCTCTGTCTGTCATTCTCTGGCATCTTGCTAGCCTTCATAGTGACTGCTTTGCTCTCAGCTCCTTTCTTCAACTTTTTCAACATTTTATTCCTAAATTCTTTCAATAAAACTTTCACTGTGAGGGTTTAGGAGGTAAAACTAAATGTTGTGACCACCACAAACACCACAACAAAAGCCAAGAACAAATGAGTGGGGTCTCCTTCAGCTATGTGTGTCATTAGCCCTTCCTACTCACTAAGCAGAGGTAGGCAATAAGACAAAAGAGCACAGCCCCACTAGAGCTTCTTCCACACTCACCATTAGATATTTTTGTTCTTTATTTTGTAACTTCCTACTTTCCCAATCCTCAATCCTAATCATAGCTATTATTGATTCTATTTTCACTTGATTTCACTTCAATACTTTTTTTCCCCAAAGATAGGGTACTTTATACACTACCCATGGGTATATAAATACCAGAGTCACTTTGGAAAAAAGCTGGGCATTATCTAGTAAAGTTGAACATAGAACTTTACTTCTGGGTATAAAATTTGCAGAAATGTTTGCATTTGTGTACCAGTAGACATACCAGAATGTTCATAGCAGAATTATTCATTAAGAGTAAAAAATGTAAACACTGATGTCCATTGATTAGAAAATGAATATACATTGATATATATTCATATAAAATAATACATTTATTTTCTTTATAATAAATATAATTACATTTTCTATATAAAATCACAAATATAAAGCAGTTAGCACATCATATTCTTCAAACTGCCCATATGTTCTATTTCCTCATTTACATGTGTGAACATATATAATTTATTATATGTAACAGTATATTTGTATGATACATATATGTGTTGTATATAATACACATATATTTTATTGGGATATAATTAACATACCATAAAATTTACTCTTTTAAAGTGCACAATTCACTAATTTTTACTGTATTCACAGAGTTGTGCATTCATCCCCACTCTCTAATTTTAGAACATTTAATTACCCCCCAAAGAAACTCTCTAGCAGACATTCCCCATACCTTGCCCCTTGATAATCATTAATTTGCTTTTAGTCTGTATGGATTTGCCTATTTTGGACATTTTATATAAATGGAATCATATATGTTTTTTTGCGCCTGCCTTCTTTCACTAAGCGTAATGTTTTCAAAGTTCATCCATGTCGTAACGTTTGTCAAGGCTTCATTCCTTTTAGTTGCTGAATAATATTTCCTTGTATGGGCTTACCACATTGTGTTTACCCGTTTATCAGTTGATGGACATCGAGGTTGTTTTTTTACTTTTTGGTCATTAATAATAATGCTGCTATGAGGGTTTGTATACAGATTATCATGTAAACTTGTTTCCATTTTCCTCAGGTATACAACTAGCAGTGGAATTGCTGGGTTACATGATAACACTATGTTTAACATTTTGAGGAACTGCCAAACTATTTCCTAAAGCAGCTTTTTTTACATGGTGTGAGATAAGGATCCAACTTCATACTTTTACATATGTCTATCCAGTTGTCCCAGCACCATCTGTTTAAAAAAGTCTTATTTCTTCACTAAATTTTCTTGACACACTTGTGGAAAATCAATCAACCATAAACATAAGGGTTTATTTCTGGACTGTCAGTTCTATTCCATTGATGTGCATACCTGTCCTATGCCAGCATCATGCTGTCTTGATTATTGTAGCTTTGTAGTAAGTTTTGAAATCAGGACATTTGAGTCTTCCAACTTTGTCCTTTTTCAAGATTATTTTAGCTCTTCTAGTTCCATGCATTTCCATGTGAACTTTAGAATCAGCTTGTCAATATCTGTAAAAAAAAATGTCAACTGAAATTTTGATAGGAACTGAATTGAATCTGTATATGAATTTTGGAAGTATTGCATCTTATCAATATTAAGTCTTCAAATCCATGAACGTGGGATGTCATTCTATTTATTTAAACATTTTTAAGTTCCTTTCAATTATGTTTTATAATTTTCAGTGTGTAAGTTTTATGCTTAAGTTTATTCTATGTATTTTATTCTTTTTGATACTATTGTAAGTGAAATTGTTATCTTAATTTTATTTTCAGATTGTTCATTGCTAGTATATAGGAATACCATTGAGTCTTACATACTGATCTTATAATATATTGTGTGTTCTTGTATGTTGATCCTGAAACATTACTGAACTCATTTATTAGTTGTAATAGTTTTTTTTTAAGTGGATTCCTTAGGATTTTCTATATACAAGATCATGTCATCTGTGAATAAAGATAGCTTTACTTTTTCCTTCCTAATCTGGATACCTATTTTTTTCTGTAACTAATTTCCATGGATAGAATCTCTAGTAAATCATTGAACAGAAGTAGCAAGAGTGGACATCCTTGTCTTTTTCCTCATCTTAGGGGATAAGCTTTCAGTATTTTAAGTATGACTTTAGCTCTGTGTGTTCTTTTGGATGACCCTTAGCTGCCTAAGAAGGTTTCCTTCTATTAGTAGTTGGTTGACTGTTTTTATCATGAAAGGATGTTGGACTTGTCAAGTGTTATTTCTGTCTGTCGATTTGATCATGTGATTTTTGTCCTTTATTCTGTAATATGGTATATTACATTGACTGATTTTCATATGCTAAACCAAGTTTGTGTTCCTGGGATAAGTTCCATTTGGCTTTGGTACATAATCCTTTTCATATGTTGCTGGATTCAATTTGCTATTATTTAGTTGAGAGTTTTCTATCTATAGTAGTTTCCTTTTTCGTGGTGTCTTTTGGTCTCAAGTTTTTTATTACGAATTCAATCTGTTCTTATAAGTCTAGATTTTCTGTTTCCTCTTGGGTCAGATTTAGTAGTTTTTGTCTTTCTAGGAATTTATCCACTTCATTTAGGTTACCTAATTTGTTGACATAAAATTGTTCGTAGTATTGTCTTATAATTCTTTTGATTTCAGTAAGATTAGCAGGGATGCCCCTTCATTCATTGTTGATTTTAGTAATTTGAGTCTTCTCTTTTCTTGATCAATCTAGCTAAAGTTTGTCAATTTTGTTGATCTTTCAAAGAACCAACTTTTGTTTTACTGATTTTCCCTATTGTTTTCTATTCTCTATTTCCTTTATTTCTGCTCTAATTTCTATTATTTCCTTCCTTTTTCTTGTTTTAGGTCTAGTTTCCTCTTCTTTTTCTAATGTCTTAAGGTGAAAGCTAGGTAATTGATTCCAGATCTTTTTTCAATGTAGTAATTTACAGCTATAAATTTTTCTATTATTCCTGCTTTAGCTGCATCTGATAAATTTTGGTTTTTGTTTTCATCTGTATAAGATATTAACAATAAAACATGTTTAATTAAAAACAAAAAAGGGAGACCTCCATGGTGGGACCTAGTTGAGCTAGGAGGTAACCAAAGCACCATAATGTTTAGAGTTTCTTCAATTACTGATATTAAATGGATTATAATAATTTAATATGTGAAAAATCTACTCTGTTTGTTCATGTTGCTAGTAGTGCACAATTAGGGATTTTGTGCTTGTCAAAGCTTTAACTCTTCCACAAAGCACATAAAACATAATTTTCAGAGTTGGAAAATTCAGGGAACTAGTTAGTGACAGGAAAATCCTGTGCAGGAACTAACCACCCAAAGAGAGTCTAGTTGGTTTGGAAGCCATTCTCACAACCAAAAATCGAAAAGAAGTTATTTTCTCCAGCACAGGAAAAAAGGTAAAAGAAGGTGCCAAAGTGAAGGATTTACATATTTACTTTGTGTTAAAAGAAAGTTTTGTAGGTTTTATTATAAACTGTGTCCAATTTACCTTCTGTATTGATGAAATAGCCAAAAGTAAACAAAGAAAGGGCTTGCTATAAATGACTTTTATAAAGGTCTGTGGTCATGTTACAAATTTCCTTCCAAGTGACCTTACATTTCTGTTAAAGTAAGTATACCTAGTAATCAGCTGCATCATTTTGTAAGTTCATTTGTTTGGAAGTTGTATCTTTTTTTCCATTGTAAGAAATCTTGAATTTATCTTAGATACTTTGTTTTTGGAGAAGAAAATCTTTGATGTCATAACATTAAGGGAATATTTTTGTGGCATATGTTAAAAAATTACTTTTAGTATTTTTTCTGATTTCACCAATTCCAAAGGGAAATTAATCAACATGCTTTTTGGAAATTTTTTTAAATGTTTCTCTAGTGAAATATAGTTTATATATAATTTATGTTGGCTTCCAATGAACAACTTAGTGATTCATCAATTATATATATTACTAAATGCTCACAATTATAAATGTAGTTACCATCTGTCACCATATGAAGATATTACAACATAAACTATATTCCCTATGCTGTACTTCCACACCTGTAACTAAATTATTTTATAATTTGAAGTTTGTACCTTTTTATCCCATCCCCTTCACCTATTCCTCTCCTACCCACCATGGTAACAACTGTCCATTCTCTGTGTTTATGAGTCTGTTTCACTTTTGTTTGTTTGCTTTGTTTTTCAGATTGCACGTATAAGTGAAACCACATGGTATTTTTCTTTCTCAGACTGACTTATTTCCCTTAAGATAATACTGTGTATGTCTATCCATACTGTCACAAGTGGCAAGATTTCTTTCTTTTTTATTGCTGAATAATATTCCATTGCATATATGTATGTGGTGAAATTTTATCATATTTAGCTGTATTACTAAAAATGTTGAGATTGTAAAATTTTTTAAAGGAAAAGAAAAAGAACATAACAATGTAATGTAAAAAAACTCATCAGGGGTACCACCTGGGCTGATGTGGTATTTCTGTGCCATTGCAGGCAGGTGTAAATCAGTGGGCCACCTGTTTGGGTGACTCAGCATAGGCAGTGTGATTCAACAGTGCAGTGGATGAGGAGATAGCCCACATGATTGGGAGACTAGTTTCATTCAAAGGGATTAAGCAAATAAGTAAATATATCAAGGATAGTGAGAACTGGTTTCCTGCTAAGAAGAGAGATGCAAATATGGAAAGGGAGAAGGCTAGAATAAACTGTATGATTTTAGAATTTAAATGAAGGTGTTAGAGTGAATTCGTGGTTTCTAGCATATAGAAACAGATATGGATGTGTGTGTGTCTGTGTGAATCTGTGCCCACATGTGTACATACATTTACTTCCTGACTCTTATCAGTGGAGAGGACATAGAAAGAATGATATTCTGGTAGCCATAAGAACACTTATTACCCAGATCTTGGTCTTAAATGTCATTCTTCACAAAAAGGAGCCAGGAGCTCAAGCAAAGTACAAGGTGAGACTAGAACATCTTATTGTGCCAAAAAATATGAAGTTCTCAAAAAATCATGGAGATATTTTTAAGGGCATGAGAACCAGCTGGAAGGGCACATACTGGCTAAATCTAGGACAATTTGATTATCAAAATGAATAATGATATTAATGGATTATAACCCACTGAGTAAAATAGGAATCTATGAGATCATATAAATATAAATAAATAGATTAATTAATAAATAAACAGTGTAGGGAAAAATCTACCTGGTAGTAGAATACAAACTAATAAGTGTAGAAGGAATAATAGAATTAGAATTATATTGTGGCTATGTAGGTGTGTTCTTGTTTTTAGGAAATACACTATGAGGAGTTTAGAAGTAATTGGACATTATGTGTGCAATTCACTTTAAAGTGGTTCCAAAAAGTAATATATGAAGAATATATATATAATATATGTATGTGTGTGTATGTGTATATATATATATATATATGTAAATAAACTTGGAAAACAGTTTGGCAGTTTTTTTAAAGGGGAAACATATACCTACTTTATGACCCAGCTATTTCACTCCTATATAACTACCCAAGAGAAATTAAAACATTCACACAAAGACTTTGACACAGATATTCATAGCAGCTCTATTCATAATAGCCAAAACCTGGAAACAGTCCAAATGTCCACTGACAGTAAATGGATAAGTAACAGTATATTTATGCAATGAAATACTACCAGCAATCAAAGAGAACTATTGGTATGTGAAACACCACGGGTGAGTTTCAAAATAATTATGCTGAGTGAAATGTCAGACCAAAAACAAAACAAAACCAACCAGTACATAATGGATGATTCGAACTGTATAAAATGCTAGAAAATGGAAACTAATTTATAGTGACATAAAGCATAGCAGTGGTTTCCTGGAAACAAAGGTGGGGATTGAGGTTAGGACAGGTAGAGAAGAAAGATTCAAAGGAGCACAAGGAAACTTGGCAATGATGGATCTGTTCATTATCTGAACTGTGATGGTTTCACAGTTATATACATATATTAAAATTCATCAAATTTTACACTTTAAATATGTTCAGTGTATTACATGTCAATTATACTTCAATAAAGCTGTTTTTTAAAAAAACTTTCTTGTCATTATATCCAAAGGATGGATCAGAGAGATGGTAGTGGTAGCTGAGGTGGTTCTGAGACTAAATTTCTAAATTCTCTTCCTTCCAGAGAAGGGGCTGTATTTTGAGCTCGGGGGTTTTGGAATGATTCTCTTGAGATTAGAGCTAGTGAACACTCACATACCAAAAAGTGTGCTCTAGTTTCCTCTGCTTAGACCAAGCAGAGGCTCTATTCTGAGGAGGCAGGTTTGGGGACGGTTTCTCCAGACCACAAAAACAAATTAGATGACTCTTGGTACTCAAGGAAAGCTTCTAAATTTTTCCTTACCAGGGGTTTGAGGACAGTGTGGGGACAATCCTTCTTTAAGTCCAAATTATCTAATAAGAAAAAATGAGTAAATTTAAAAGAAAAATTAGACTAACAACATAAAGAGAATGTGCTTTCTAGACAGGAGGTTGAATCATACCTTATGCTGGAATGATATGGAACAATATTCCATATCATGGAGCAATATAGAATGATAAAAAGTTCCATTATACACATTTCATATACTTCCTGAATTTCCTGTTAAACACTTGACTTAAAATAGATTCAAGCCCTTTGGACAAAATGTGGTGAGAATCTGATGGGTTAAAAAAATTACATGTAAAAATTATCTCCATTTACCCTCTCCTGGGACTTTAGGTAAGAATATGAAAACTCAACTATCCTTGAGCCGGATGAGCCGGGAAGAACTGGAGGACAGTTTGTTTCGTCTTCGTGAAGAGCACATGTTGGTGAAGGAACTTTCTTGGAAGCAACAGGAGGAGATCAAGAGGTACCTAGAGTTCTCTTTAAGTCTTTAAAAGCTGAATCTACACTAGACCTACACCACACTAAACCAAAAAGAATACATTTCCCTGAGACATCCATACCAGAAAATAATTCAAATGTCAAGGATGGTTAACTCCAAAAATAATTTTTGGAGCATTATTACTTTATACTGTTTTCTTGTCAGACACATCAGTAGATCGTGGCCTTACGTCACAAAGCATCATCAAGAACTGTTTCAACCCACAGAGCAAGAGACTGGGCAGGCTTCTGGCCTGGTCACTAAAGAAGGGATGGGGACATGGCAAATGACCAAAATCTCAAGAGAACAAAGGCTGTAGGAGAAAGCATAAGTGCTTATGCAGGCATGATATAAGTGCTTTATATGGACTAACAATGTTATAAAGAAGGTATTATTAAGAGGACAGAGAAGCACAAAGAGGTTAAGTTACTTGCCTAAAGTCACAGTTACTGAGTGGCAGAACTGAAAGCTCTTTACTCTAAAATATACTATATACACTGACCTTAGGCCATTTAATTTCAAAAATGAATCTCTTGGGTGGGAACCTGGAGAGAAATCTGAGATAGAATGCTAGTAGATAAACAGATGGGAAGAATGGGAGTTCTGAAAGTTCAGGATTTATCTTGAGGATATATTTTGAAGATAACTGGTGTCAGTACCTTCCAACCAAAAACCACCAGGAATAGTTTAGCAAATTGGGTTTGTTACTACTCATAGCAGCTAGAGAGAATGCCTACCACAGGGAACTAAAGGCATCTTTGTAAGAATGTGTTAGAAAGAACCTATTGCAGAATTTGGGCTTCTGCTGGGTGATTTGGGAGAGGACCCAAGGTAACGAGTCTGCTCCAGGGGTGGTACTGTCAGAAAACAGAGAATTCTGTGTTTGGATATTTCAATAAATGTTATCTTCAGGGAGAGCAGACTAGAGTGAGGCTAAAGTTGTAATTGGTGAAGAAGTAGCAGTTACTCATTTGCCGGGAGAGGAAGATGGTGGTGGAGGCACAGTGACCTTGTTTTTTGTGCTTAGACACAATTATATAGTGGTTTTATTTTGTATCACTCTATTATGGCCTCAGAATGGCCTTGCGCGTTGGTGTTCTGTGAGATTATGTCCAACAGGACAGTAACATGGCCTAGCTGTGAGTACCAGGCCAGTTTAAAACAACCCTGAAAACTAGCGTTATCAGACCAGTTCCATGATGTTAAGAGCAGCTTTGGGCTTTCTCATTGCTAATCCCCAGGAGTGGTTCATAGCTTCATTTGGAACCCACAGGATTGCAGGCTTCCGTTGTATGCCAGCACTCTTCAGAATTGGAGATTTGTTTACATTGTGAAGAATTCAAGAATCTGGTGAAGTCAGTGGTTGCAGGAGCCAAAAATTTGGCCTCTTGGTTGATAAACAAAAAGTACTGAGATTATAAACATGAAGTAGCTAAATTAGATTCTGTCTCCCCAGCTTTAGGCACATCACCTAGCTATTTTGTACCTTGATTTCTTTATTTGAATATAATGAAGTATAATAATACTAACTACTGCAGTGCTTATAATGCACCTTTACTGCTGTAAGCACTTTACATGTATTAATTTATTTCATCCTCATAACAATCTAGTGAGGCAGGTACTATTTTCATCTTTATTCATAGATGAGGAAACAGTACAAAAAGTTAATGACAGGCCCAAGGCTGCATAGTCAGTAAATGTCAGAATCGGCAGGTAGTGGGACCACAGAATCTGGAGTAAGGGTTAAAAAACATGATTTCAGGTGAAGAAACAAGTAGTAATGTGCCTTATAGGTAAGACTCGCTGTATACTAAGGGCTGTAGAGGAGTAATCCTTAAAGATGGGCCCCTTTACAGGGGTGTACAGACAAGTGGGATGGGAGAAGTAATAAAATTTCTACTTATATTTAATTATCTTGCCTTTAAAAATTAGTATTTTTGTTTATGCTTTATAATGACCTACAGTTTATTAGTACAGAACTAAATGTATATAATTTAAAAACAAATGAGGGTGGAGCCAAGATGGTGGCGTGAGTAGAGCAGCAGAAATCTCCTCCCAAAACCATATATATATTTTAAAATACAACAAATACAACTATCCCTAAAAGAGAAACTAGAAGATACAGGACAACAGCCAGACTACATCTGCACCTGCGAGAACCCAGCGCCTCACACAGGGGGTAAGATACAAGCCACGGCGCGGTGGGACCCAAGCGCCCCTCACCCCAGCTCCCAGCGGGAGGAAAGGAGTTGGAGCAGGGAGAGAGAGGGAGCCCAGGACTGCTGAACACCCAGCCCTAGCCATCTTCACTGGAGCACAGACACACAGTGCGTGGGGTGCTGGATACTAGGGAAATGGGACAGTAAAACCTGTGAGTGGGTACCTGCAGCCAGTGCCCCTGGGACAAAGAAAAGCGAGTGCTTTTTGAAAGACTTAAAGGGACAGGGACTCCACAGCTGGATGGAAACGTCACGGGACACTTAACCCAGCAGCTGGGAATCCCAGGGAACTCCGGGTGCCCTAACCCCCTAGGCAGCAGCACAGCTCAGAGGACCCTGATGGAGATAAACAGCCTCCCACCCATTTCCCCTCTCACACCGCTCGCCATAGTGGAGCAGCAGCCTGAGGCCAGTCACGCTCACAGCAACCGTGGAGCTGAACTCCACGGCAGCCAGTCAAGAATCAGAGACCACATCTGCGTGCAGCTGCCCAGCACAAGCTGCTAGGGGACACTGTTCTCCCAGGAGAGGAAGGCCACAAACCAGCAAGAAGGGACATTCTCCCAGCCAAAACATGCACCAGCTCCCCACAACTACCTCTATTGCCATGAAAAGGCAGAAGAATTTCATGCAGACCAGAATAATCCAGACATCTTCCCCTGAGAAGGAATCTGGGGAGACAGACCTAACCAATCTCCCTGAAAAAGAATTCAAAATGAAGGTCATAACCATGCTGATGGAGCTGCAGAGATATATGCAAGAGCTAAGGGATGAAGTCCGGAAGGAGATTACAGAAATGAAACAATCTCTGGAAGGATTTATAAGCAGAATGGATAAGATGCAAGAGGTCATTGATGTAATAGAAACCAGAGAA